GTAAATGTTTTAAATGCACTGTCAGCAAGCAAGGTTATATCATCTGCATATCACTGGTTGTTAATGTGTCTTCCTCTAATCCTGATGCCAAGTTTTTCTTCATATATCCCACCTTTTTGGATTATTTGCTCAGCACACAGTATGAATAAATATGGTGAAAGAATACAACCCTGTTGCATACCTTTCTTAGTTTTAAAACATTCAGTGTTCCCATGTTCGAACAGCTTCCTCTTGATCCAAGTACAGTTTCCTCATGAGCACAATTAAGGATTGAGGAATGCTCATATGTCACAATGTTGTCCACAGCTTGTCATGATCCACATAATCAAAAGCTTCTGCAAAGCTGATAAAGCACAGGTAGCCACCATCCTGGTATTCTGTCCTTTCAGCCGAGATCCATCGAACATCAGCAGTGATATCCGTTGTTCCATGGCCTCTTCTGAATCCTGCTTGATTCTCTGGAAGTAATCCATCAATATATGTTTGCAGCCATTTCTGTATTACCTTTAGTAAAACTTTACTTGCATGGGATATCAAAGAGATTGTCTGATGATTTCTGCATTCCTTTAGGTCACCTCTCTTTGGAATGGGCACAAATATGGATCTCTTGCAATCAGTTGGCCAGCTAGTTGTCTTCCAAATTTCTTGGCAGAGATGATTGAGTGCCTCCAGTGCTGCCTCACTTTCTTGAAATATTTCAATTCTGATTCCATCAATTCCTCGTGCCTTGTTCTTTGCCAATTCCTTCGATGCACCTTGGACTTCTTCCTTTAGTATCATTGGCTCTTGATCATAGGCTACCTCTTGAAATGGTTGAACTTTAACCATTTCCTTTTAGTACAGTGACTCTTGTGTATTCTTTCCATCTTTTTTTGGGGGGGGTTATTGTGAATTAAGTGATAGGTGTTTACATAGGAGAACATTAGCTTTACATTCATCCTATTTTATTTCATTTCATTGCAATGATTAAAATTGACTCCATGCATATTCAAACAACCAAAGAGTACATCCTACAAGCATGCCCCATCAGCCATCAGCACACAACCTTTCTCCGTCCCTGAGTCTTGAGTCCCCTACCAATCTATTTTTCCACATCATTGTCCTTGCCTCCATCTCTGACATTACTGCTTCTCTGGATAGGGTTCTGCAGTTCACTTTTCCCTCTTGATGGTTCCAGAGACCTCTGATCCTGGGCTGCAAAATCAACTAGTCTTCTCCTTTTGCTACAAAACATCTACCTTTACCTTTCCAACACTCACAGTCCATCCTGATAGCAATCACTCACTATTGAACCATGAGAATCTTATCTCCATCTCCCTTCACCAGCCCCATCCAGACAGGTTGGAAACCACTCAGTGAAATTCTACTGTTCCCTGTACCCTCTGGTATTAAGTTCCCTATTGAAAACTTGTAAGCCAGTAAGTTCTTGCCTTTGTAGTCCCAGCCCCCAATTTTGAGTAGCCAATGTCTAAGTTGCCCATACTTTGTCGACCTTGTGAGCTAAGGGTGTGGGAATGATCCTTGCTGTAAATATTTGTTCTCTCCTTTGACTACTGCATCCACAAGCATAGGACAAGTTCATCAAATTGTAACAGACTGCTCTTTTGTTCCTCTTCATTCTTCCTCTAGTCAAGTTCTGATCATCTACTATTGAAGCCATGTCCAGTGGGTACTATCTGAAAGTATGGGTGTTCCTGTGTATCTCTCCTCATTATATCAGCTGGACACTTCACACTTCACTCATCTTGATCGCATGTTTAATCAATTTTAGATGGACGAAGTTCGTGGAATTCTTCAATTTCTTTATCACGGGCTTTAGTGCATTGGTTTGTAACTTTGAATGATAATTATATTAACTGGTCTTCCTTGCAGACATATGGATAGAGATCTTTATGCCTCCATTTAACTTTTGATAACTCTCCTAGATTCATAATTCATACATTACATGATCCAATTATTAATGGATGTTTGAAGAGGTTTCTCCTCATTTTGGATTGTGTCCATCAGCAAATGAAAGTACCAAAAGTTTTACTCCATTCATGTCATCATGGTCAAGTCTATTTTGAGGGTACAGCATTTCCCAGACATATTTTTAAAACTGAAGGACTAATCTTCTGGCATGATACATGACAATATTTTTGTGTTCTTCATAATGTTTTCACCTTTTGGTACTATATCTGATAATGCTCTTTGTGCTTTGTACATACAATGTTTTCATTTTCCAGCATTTTGTCTTACAATGTTTTGTCGGGGACTGTCCTCGACATAGTTGTGTTGTTCACGAGTGTTTGGTTCACGAGGAGGGGATATCCGACTGCGACAGGGATAGCAAAAGAATACACAGACAGACAGAAGGAGGAGGACAAGGAGGCACCCCGAAACCAGGGTGGATGCATCAGTGGTGGGCAGACTTGGGACTACAGGCATCGTGGCCTCTGCAGGCAGCAACTCACTGCCCTGCAATCTTTACTGCATGCCCTCCAACCCGTAATGCATACCTGGGCCGGCCTGCGTCTCCATTTTATTTAGGGGAGGAGCTTCACATCAAGCTGGGAGGGACTAAAACAAGGTAGAGCTAACATCAGTAATTTTCCAGACATTCAGGTAACTTTACAGCGTATGTCACTGGTTCGAATCCCAGGCCCGCGACTTGGTTTCTCAGGCTCAATTAACATATCTATAGCCCCTGAGCTCAGTTGGGGCAAGGTGAAAGGGAAGGACAAAAGGCTTGGGCAGAGTCCCGCTGTTTTGGCTTCCTGAGCCAGGTTTTCAGGAGGACATGAGACGCCCAGGTGAATGGGCGGCACCTGGAAAAGGATTAGGGAGGATGGTTTTTTTGTCTGTAGAACAAAGACCTGGGAAGTAGCTAAGCCATTTTTAGTTAATCCTTTGGAGAAAGGCTTTACCCTTGAAACCTTTACAGTCTGGGCTTTTAGGAAAATATCACATTTATCTGTGGATATCAAGGGCTTCATGTATGAAATTAATAAATATAACTGAACACTAAGATGAAAAACAATTTGCTATTAACTGCCAGGTGGCTAGATCTGTTCCTCAGAGCCTGCAACCTGTAACACTCGGGCCTATAGGGCCTCGAGCTTCTGACCAGGCCTACACAGTCTGCAACAATGTTTCACTGCTATTCATGAGCTTTGCAGTGGCTATGCATTCAAAATATTCTGCCTCTCCTTCCTCATACTCTGCCTTAGTTTGGAAGTTCTAGTGAAGCCTGTCCACCATGAGTGTCCCTGCTTGTATTTAAAATAACAAAGGCATAGCTTCCAGCTTCACAGCAATGCACAAGCTAGTAAACTGTGTTGGTACAGTTCATACAACAAACTGATATTTGAGTGGTGGATATATGTGTATATTCATATACATATATACATAAACATGTATATATTTTTATTATTGTTGTCAAGTGCCATGTGCCATTGAGTTGATTCTGACCCATAGCAAGTATGTATATATGTGTATGTATATATATATTGGGTTCTGGTGTTGTGGTTACGAATCGGGCTGCTAACCTCAAGGTCGGTAGTTCGAAACTACCAGCTGTTCTGTGGGAGAAAGATGAGGCATTCTGCTACTGTAAAGATTTACAGGCTTGGAAACCCTTTGCAGGGTCACTATGAGTCAGAACCGATTCCAGAGAGAGAGAGAGAGAGAAAGAGAAAGAGAGAGACGTACTGAGAACAATATGTATGTTATTCTCATTATATATGTGTACATTGTTGTTATTGTTGCTAAGTGTTGTCTGGTCAGTTCAAAATTATAGTGACCCTGTGTAGGGTTTCCAAGGAGTAGCTAGTGACTTTGAACAGCTAACATTGTGGTTAGAAGTTCAGTGTGTCTCCTAGAGTGCCACACATATATACATCATATATGTATATATGTATTATTGTTTTGGTTGTTATTAAAAGCAATATAATCACTTCTGACTCATATTGACCCTGTATGGAGGTTTTGGAGAAGTGCCTGGTGGATTTGAACTACCAAGCTTACAATTAGCAGACCAGTGTTTAATCCTATAGAGCCGCACCCGGACTCCATATGTTTAGCATATATGTGTACATATACATATGTATGCATACATATATACATGTATAGGATCATCACTGGAATGCAACCCACAAAATCAATAGTTCAAACCCATCAGCTTCTCCTTGGAAACCCTATGCAGGGTGGCTATGAGTCAGAATCAACTTGACGGCCACCAAACAACCCAATTTACTATTATATTATATATATATTGTGCATACCATAATGTAATACATATGCTGTATAAAAACCTGGTGAATTGCTTCCATAAAGATTGCAACCTAGAAAACCGTATTGGGTAGTTGTATTTTGTCATATGGGGTCATCATCAGTCAAAATCAACTGAACAGCACCTAACAACATAACAACAACAGTATAATCATAGTATCACTACTATTATCCACATTATACAGTCAAGAATATGGTAAATAGAGACAAGAATACGTTTCTCAGGGTAAGCATGTGGTAGAGTTGTTATGGTAATTCAGAGTATGTGGCATCTATTCACAACTGGAAATGAACCCTAAGAAAGCTCCTAGCAAGAGTAGATGTGCAATACAAGGTAAATTATTGCCAGATGTCATCTGTGTTAAGAAAGGACGGAACAACATCTGACCAGAAAAAAAAAAAAAAAGAATTTTCAAGTCTATGAAAATAACATATGTTATGTGTTTTTAGAACTGTACACATATTTGACTGTGTATATCCTGGGAGGAAACTGGACAGTATCACTGGGAATAAAGACTAGAGAAATGGAAAAGAGGTTGTGATGGAGGGTTTTTCATGGCCTTAAATGAACTTGGAATTTACACTGTGTTCACAGAAACAAAGGAAGTTCTGGGTTATGTTAAAAATGTTTCAGACAATTCAGTCATGTTTGAAGGTTTATGACACAATTCTTTCACAAGAGACTAGATCTCTACTGCCTGAAGTGGCTTAACTTCTTGTTGTTTCATCAGGCGAATGAGGTCCTCCAGAGCTTCTTGCAGTCACAAGCGCCAACTGAGGAATCCATCCTGCAATCAGACAAAGCCCTCACAGATAGGGAGAAGGCCATGGCAGGTACAGTGGCTGAACTCAGCCCACAATGGAGTGGACACTTCCTGACATGTGTTCTGATTCTACTGAGTCTGAAAGTAACTAAGGGGAGTGGTGGTTATGTATACCAAGATAGACAGAAAAAGCCTTTTCTATTAACCTCTGAAATGCCTTTGGTGGTGTGTTTACCAAAATAAAACAGAGACTTATACTCTTCTTTTTCAAAGTCAGTTTGATGCTGTAGGTCAGGAGGGTAGATCTCAGGCCTTACCTGTTCTTTTCTCTCCTTACATCCTTTGTGGGACAGTGGAACGGGCCAAGATGGAGGCAATAGAGAAGGAGAAGGAGCTGCTGGAAGAGAAACAGAAAGAGCAGCAGCAAAAGATGGAGGCTCAAGAGAGGATCTTCAAGGAAAACATAGAACAATTGAAAGAGAAGATGGAAAAGGACAGAGAAGCACTCCTGAGAGAGCAGGAAAGGGTGCTGGCACATAAACTGAAGGTAAGTCTATCTTGGGTCTAGGCTGTGCCTGACAAACAATGTTGTGGTACCTAAAGAAGAGAAGAGTCAAAATATGAAGCAAAACCATGGTCTCAGATGGACGCACATAAGCATTTAGTTTGCTAAAACCTGAAATCCATCAAGATGTTACTGAACCCTTTATGTCCCTAAGACTCCAGCACCTTCTTCAATGTTAGGCTTTGGAGAAGACAAAGAGCATGCACTGCTATGTGTTGTAATTGAACAATAATTTCATGTGCCCTACTTGAATATAACCTTAGTCCTGTAGTCTTTATGATTTGTGGCACAACACCAAAGAGACCTCAAGTAGATCCATCACATCTTGGAAGTATTAGATTTGGCCTCACATGAAATACAGGGTGCTCTGATACTTGGTATGTTTGTTTCCAAATCTGTCTGAGTCAACCTATGCAACTTATAGTAATATGCATTCATTATCCTGATCTGGGTCTCAGCAAGCAGTTTACTACACAGGGCTAGCAGTTCTCTTTATGTTTTAGATGTTTGTGTCCTTACCTCCTCAGTGGAAACTGAGAATTAATTTCCATTAAACATTCCTTTTTTTATCCAAAGGACAAAACCGTGACTCTTGATAGTTGTTTTTCAAAGTTACTTTTTCTCCATTCTAGGTCCAAGAACAACTGCTTACGGAAGGATTTAAAAAGAAGTCTGAGAAGTTAAATCATGTGATAGTTAAACTACGAAAAAATATTGAAGCAACTAAGAATCGTTCAGGAATTTCGATTATCTTAGATGAAATTGGTAATTCAGTAATGGCAATACTAGGTACTCCTGTTAGACTTATCAATGCAGTGGTGAAAGCTGTCAGTTCAAAGCCAAAATAGATTGGAATTCTTGCTACAGAAATTATAAGAGGCTTCTTTTGTCTTAAGAGTATAATATAGTTAATCATTTAAAATTATATATCATCTTTGTTTCATTAAAGAAAACATTTAAAATAAATATTACCAAAGTGATAACCAAATTTGTGTTCCTCAAACTAAGATTTTTAAAAATTTAATTAATTAAAAAATAGAAAGCAGTAAAATAGAGGATAATGAAAATTTCACAGAAAAGATACAAGCAAAAAAATTCACTAGTGAAAAGATGAGGCAAATTTTTTGCCAGTTTAGTCATAGACAAAGAGATAATTTCTTCAGGTTATTATGAGCTCTTATTATCATTGAAAAACAGAACAACCCCACTTTTAAAAAGGGCAATGACAGCGACAAAAAATGCTTAATATTCTCAAAATAATGATGTAAAAAACTATTAGGCATGTTTTTCACTTCTAAGATTGGCAAAAAATAAGACCTGTCAGTAAATTTGAGTTGACTAGTATTTAGGGAAATAGACACACTCATATTTGTTTGTGAGAATGCAGATGGTATTCCATTACATATCACAATGTTAAACTTATAAGTCTATATTGGATTCAGCAAGTCTACATTTGGGAATTTATATTATAAATTTATTTACACAGTAGAAAGTAATATTTATTCAAAAATATCTTTGGAAGCATTGTTGTAGTGCCAAAAGATTGAAGCAAATTTAAAATCCCTCTGTAGGGCACTGGTAATGTAAATCATGGGGCATATTTACAAATGAAGACTCTATAAGGAGCTCTGGTAACGTAGTGAATATGAATCGGGCTGTGAACCGCAAGGTTAGCAGTTCGAAACCACCAGCTGCTCCGCAGGAGAAAGATGAGGCTTTCTGCTCCCATAAAGATTCACAGCCTTGGAAACCCTGTACAGGGTCACTATGGGTCGGAACTGACTCGACGGCACTTAGCAACAATAGACACTAAAATGAAAAGGTGAAGTTTTATTTGTTCTAATTTGATAAAATAATGAAAATTTATAGTACCATGAAAAATATAAAAATGCAGAAAGTATGTATCTTTGCCTCCACAGAGTTTAGAAAATAATGAAGAAATGCATGTATTAGAATTTACCTGTCTTAGCCTGGATTCCCTAGAGAAGCAAAACTAGTGAAACATATATGAATATATAGATAGAAACTTACATAAAGGAATAGCTCACACAGTTTTAGTGTTTGGCAAGTCCTAAGTACTTAGGTCAGATGTTAAGATGGGGATTTCTGATTCACTAAGCTTCAGTGTTGATAAACCAAGATGGGCATGTCAGGCAGGTAATATTGCAGATTGCTGACAATTTCCAGGACACTAGAAGCAGGTCACCTGTCTGAGGAAACTTCCTTTCAATTGATTGGCCGGTCATAGTAGAACTTATTATAGAGGTAGGTGGATACATTATAATAGATATATCTTCATTGGAAATGACTACATCGGAACTGCTATATCACTAAAAATCCTTTCCCAGCCAAACTGAAAAGCACCCTTAACAATCTGCCCACTCTTGTCAACTTGGCACCTATATACATCTCTTTTGACCATACATGACATCTAAATAAACAAAATTATAAAGACATACTTGTGCCTAACACAATACAACTAACATAGATACAGCCAAAACACAATAAACCCATTTACATTTTATATTTTATAAGTGAACAAAACAAAACATATTTGATGCACGCATGCAAGGAATAAATACTCATAACAATTTAAGTCCTCATTTTACAATGCTCACATGGCTGTTACTAGTATTTAGAACTACCTTTTTTGTCTGTATATCCAGAAGTATGAGAAACCCAAAGTGTTCAGAGAGTATTCTTCACTTCTAGTTAAGTGTTCTCACTTAGTGTTCTGTCTCCAGGTGAGAATATTCCTATTTTTGGAACAAAATCTCCAACCCAAAAGAGGATCGGGTCCAGGTACAGAAAGCAAAAATTTTGCAATTGGATCAGTATGAGTGATACTGAGTGGTACCATTCCTATTTCTACCACTTTGACCCATGAATCTTGGCTAATGGAGAAACAGCACCATACATTAGACACTAGTTTAGAGCATATATAGTCTTCTGGAGAACATTGCCCTAACACTGCAAGGCATTTTCACTTAGATGGTATCTTAATTGTATATTTAGAAGAGCAGTCCTCAGTTTATGAAGGCAGATACTTCAGGATGATATAGAACATGGTAAGGCCAGTGAATTTCATGAGCATGGGTCCAATGTCAAACTTCATTTATTGTGAAGTGAGTTCCCCTGATAGGAGGGAATACCTTGTGGGATGACTTGATGGTGGATGAGGCATTCTGCAAGTTCATGAGTGATCATTTTGACAGAAGCTTTTTGAGCAGAGAAGACAAATCCATGTCCGATGTCCCAAGTAAGTGTCTATTCAAGCAAGAACAAAACTGTCCTTTCTATGATGGAAATGGCCTAATGTAATCAATCTGATACCAGGTTGCTGACTGATTTCACCAAGAATATCATCATATCACAGACTCAGTGTTGGCCACTGCTTGTGGATGATTAGGCACTCAGTATTGACTGTAGCCAAGTCAGAATTGGTGAGTAGAATTCAATACTACTGAGATCATGTACAACCTACATCCCTTCCATCACGGTCACTCTGTACATGAGTTCATTGAGCAATGACAGGGGTGGCTGGGAAAGAATATGATTGGTTTTTCCAGAACACATCATCTTATTCACTTGATTGTTAAAATATTCCTCTGCCAAGGAAAATCTTTGGTGAGCATTCAAATGAAGCACAAATACTCAATTTTTTGGTCATTCAAAGCAATCTATCCACATACCTCATCACCACATCTCCTTGTTACTACAGCTGTAGTGTTACTGCTGTCCTCTTTTACCATGCAGAAACATCTGCAAACTAAGCATCAATTTTCTCCTCTTCAGTCAACTGAACATAGGGAACTCCTCATTAGGCCAAGTTGTTGTTGTTGTTATGTGCCGTGGAGTCGGTTCCGACTCATAGCGACCCTGTACAGGGTTTCCGAGGCTGTAAATCTTTACGGGAGCAGAAAGACTCATCTTTCTCCCGTGGAACAGCTGGTAGTTTCGAACTGCTGACCTTGCGGCTCACAGCCCTATGCCATTAGGCCATAGATGCAGACAAATGGAAGATAATGTGACATGAGTGGAGACCATGGGCATTTGGGCTGCATCTTCATACAGCTTACATATGCCTACATGTCCTTCCTGAATATGATCTCATTTATACATTCATTTAATGGTATAGTGATGTTGTGCATATGCAGATCTGTGACTCTGAGGGTCAGACAACCCCAAGTTCATTATGAAAAGCTCAAGTTGAATGGTGACTAAGTAGCCTATTGTTAGGCATTCAGTCACCACTGAGGCCCAGGATGACTCATCTGTCTGTTTGCCATACTGTGGTGAGTTGCATGTTGTTGTGATGCTGGAAGCCATTCAACCAGGATTTAAAATACCAACAGAGCTACCCATAGCTGGCAAGTTTCAGGGAGCTTCCAATCTATTACAGACTAGGAAGAAGCAGAGGCAGACTACCTCTGAATGTTTATCCACTTACAACTTTGTAACTAGACACAAGTCATTGTCAAATACGGTACCAGGAGATGAAAGCAATATGAATAGCAGCAGAACATTGTCAAATATAGTGCCAGACGATAAGTCCCTAAGGTTGGAAGACACCGAAAATATTATTGGGCAAGAACAGCCCTCTCAAAATAGAGTTGACCATGAAGATGCAAATGGAGTAAAGCTTTCAAAACCTTCATTTGCTGATGAGGCACAACTCAAAATGAGGAGAAACAGCTGCATTAATAAGAACATGGAATATTCGAAGTATGAATCTAGTAAAATTGGAAATTGTTAAAAAAAGAAATGGAACAGAAAATGATCAATATTTAGCATTAGTGAGCTGAAATGGATTGGTAACAACCATTTTGAATCTGACAGTCAGATAGTTTATTATATTAGGAATGGTAAAATGAAGAGGAATGACATTCATCATCAAATAACACATTTGAAGTTGTATCTTGAAGTACTACACTGTTTGTGATAGGATAATATCCAAATGCCTACAAGGATGACAAGTCAATACTGGTCTATGTACCAACAAATCTATGGACCAACCACTAAAGCCAATGATGATCAACTTCTTAAAGCTGAAATTGATCAAACATGCAATCAAATTGTATTGATAATCACTGGTGATTGGAATGCAATGATTGGAAATAAAAAGGAAGGACCAGTAGGTGGAAAATATGGCCTTGATGACAGAAATGATGCTGAAGATTGCATGACTGAATGTTGCAATACAAATGATTTTTTATTGTAAATGTCTTTTGTAAACAACAAAAAGTTTGTGATGATTATACACATGAATGCCATCAGAAGGAATATACTGGAATCAAATTGACTTCATCTTTGGGAAAAGACGGTGGACAGTATCAATATTATCAGCCAAAACAATGCCAAGGGTTGCCTTTGGAATAGACTACCAATTGCACAAATACAAGTTTAGGCTGTAACTGAAGAAAATTTAAAAAGTCCTTGAGAACCAAAATATGACCTTGACTTTTCCCACCTGAGTAGAGTAGATATGCATTATACACTATAGGCAAAGAACAAAAGATTTGTGGGATGACATCAAGAATATCATACAGGAAAAATCGAAAGGTCATTAAAAAGACAAAGAAGAAAGAAAGGACCAAAATGGATGTCAAAGAGACTTTGACACTCACTCTTCAGCATAGAGATGCTACAGTCAAGGGAAGAAATAAGGAGGTAAAAGAGGTGAACAGAAAATTTCAAAGTACAGTTTGAAAAGACAAACTCAAGTGTTATAATGAAACATGAAAATATCTGAGAAGACTCCTTTTAAAACCCAGCTGGATTACAAAACTAACCAATCCCTGCCTTAGAATGCTATACATCTTATTTGCATCGTCTGGTAGCATAGTGG